ATGTCTATCCATCAATCTATTTTTCCATCTATCTGTTTATTTATCAATTTATTTATCATTTATCTGTCGGTGTATCTATATGTATCTACTGACATATCCGAAAATAAGCACACACCACAAAAACAAAAAATTATATGTCTATCGATCAATCTATTTTTCGTCTTTATCTATCTGTCGGTCTATCCTATATTGCATTCTACTGACATATCCGAAAATAAGCACACACCACAAAAAAACAAAAAAAAGAAAAAATAATGTCTATCGATCAATCTTTTTTTCCATCTATCTGTCGATCTAGATATATGTATCTGCTGACTTATCAATCAATCAATATACGAATTCAGCATTCTATTTTCGCTATAATAATTTTCGGTTTTAATTCTTTAGTTCTCTCACACTCTCCGTCTCTCCGGCACGTACAAACACAAAAACATCTTACTCTTCCCATCTTTTTTTTCTCTCTCTCTCTACATCTCTTTCCTTCTGAGAAATTCTAGCATTTAGAAGAGCATAATTATCCCTCCCTCGAGTCTTAATTCGGTTTTGCACACCTAGCACGCGTGAATTCGGCGCCGTGACTTGTGCGAAGAGTACATACACGACGGTCACACTTGCAATTTTAAATTTGGAATTTAGTTTGGCAATAGGAACCGGACTGAGATGCTGTGCGGAGAGCGACAGAATAAATGGATAAAGACAGAATGAAGTTGTAAATTAATTGAGCATATACAAACAAAAACACGCACACACAGAAGCACACACACACACACACACACACACACACACACACACACACACACACACACACATACATATATATATATATATATATATATATATATATATATATATATATATATAATATATATATATATATATAAACACACGCACACATTCAATATTATGTATATATATATATATATATATAATATATATATATATTATATATATATATATATACATATATATTTACCTATGGTCTGCATATCTATATATCTAACTATCCGTCTTACATATACGCACAGACATTACGTATATGTGTGTATGTATATATATATATATATATATATATATATAATATATATATATATATATATATACATATATATATATTACATTACATATATATATATATATATATATATATATATATATATATATATATATATATATATATATTGGCCTTACTATTCGACTCGGTTCATATTTTTACTATATAGATTTAATTTTTTTTTAGGCCAGTAAGGCATTCAAATACGATCAAGCAAATTCAGGTGCAGAACCCAAATTTTAGACTATCAATAGATAACGTCCAGCATGAGGTCTCTTATCTACTTGGAACAACCTCTTCGTTATACCACTGGTAGACGTTAGCCACTTCCACGGATGCCTCTGTCTACGCTTCTTCGCCACTTCGTCTTCAGACATCTTTCTCTCTCTGTCTCTCTTTCTCTCTCTCATTCTAGTATCCAAATGTGTGAACAACCGATTGAATAATCTCTCCTTTTACAATTAAGCAGATTTTTTTTTTTTTTTTAACAACCATCCAACAATAATTAAATATTATTTTTTCGTTCTCAGGTGTGTCTGTGTGTATATGCGTTGCTGTGTGTGCATATAAGTTCGTTCAATACAGCTTACATATTCACATAAAAAAGATGTAACATAGGTTATTTGTCATACCTTAATACGTTTTCCACTTCGTTATTCGATACAAAATATATGATGCCGTTTACCGGAATTTCGTACACCTGTCTTAACCGGCCATATCCTGTTTGCCTCCCACCAACTACTCTTGAAAAAAAACCCACTAAAGTATATTAAATTACCTATGAATAATTCTGGTATATCCGGGTATCTCAGTATTATGTCTATACATACAGAGGATACTGTAACAAGATTCATGAAGAAAAGCGAAATCCAATA